AGGGGAGAGAGAAAGAGAGACTCACAACAAGGCCACAGCTTCACTCTTAACAAGTTATGACCGGGACTTAGTTTGGGGCCTGGCCGGGGGGGGTTGTGACGTCATAACTTTCTTGGGCAAGCTCCCTGGTCTGAACCTTTAATCTGTACTCTGAATTACAGTGACTCGGCCTTATTTTCCCCCCTTGTACCTGAGGATATTACCTGTACTGTATTTCACGGCGTTATTATTGTTGTTATTACCGCTGTAGTAGTGGTTGTTGTTATTGTTGTTATTACTGCTGTTGTGGTTATTATTATTGTTGTTGTTAATGTTATTGTTGTTATTGTTTTTATTATTGTAATTATTGTTGTTACTAATATTATCTATATTTTCATTATTGTTTTGTTTTTATTATCGTTGTTTATTATTGTTATTATTATTAGTAGTAGTATTTTTTATTATTATTGTTCATTAATTTGTTTTCTATTCATGGCGCTAATTACTAAAGTGTTCAGAAATGTATGTTAATTCCACCGTAGAGTAGTTCCCTTCTACCCTCTTCCATTTTCCTTCCTTTCCCTTGTCTTTCCCATCTCACCCTTCCTTTCACTTTTCTTTCTTCCATCTCACCCTTCTCCCCCCCTCCCATCCTTCCTGCTTTCCTCCCCTCCCCTTCCTTAGCTTTCTCCACTATACCTTCATTTCTTTCCCCTTCCTTCCTTCCTTTTCTTTTCTTCCCTCCCCCCTACCTTTCTCCCCTCCCTCTCCCTCCCACCACCTCTCCCACCACGGCTGATATGAGCACATTCTCGGGGTGATTCAACGACACATAGGTAACATAATTCCAGTCACCTTAAATAAAGAGAGAGAGAGAGAAAGAGAGAGAGAGAGAGGTGGAGAAACAGTGAGAGGGTGGAGAAAGAGAGAGAGAGAAGAAAGGAAGGATTAAAGAGAGACAGAGAAAGAGGGGAGAAAGAGAGAGAGAGAGAGTCTTCATCATTGAGGCTTCAGAACTTGGCTTGGTGCATCACTCAACACACCGTTATATATGTTGGCGCACCAGAATGTGTCATTAATGGTGCTTTTACGCCTTAATTTAACCGTCTGTTTCTCCGTCACCCTGTCATCTTTTTCAGTGATAATAATCTTTTTCACTGCTGCTATAGTTTGTTCAGTGATAATGATCTTTTTCTATGACTAATGTGTTTCCATACCTAACCTAACCTAACCTCTGTAGTGTCTCATACATGGGGAGGGGCGCAAGTGAGGTAATTAATTACCCTTCATTCATCACAGTGCTTAATGAGTGTCTGTGTGTGTGTTTTAGTGAGTAATGTGTGTGTGTGTGTGTGTGTATAAATTGAAGTGTTGGTGATGTTGGTACACGCACACATACACACACACACACACACACACACACACACACACACACACACACACACACACACACACACACACACCTGTTCTGCCTATATATATAAACAACAGAAATAAATAAATAAAACATACAGCAAAATTAAACTTCATCCAAATAGTAATTTTGACCAGACAATAAATTCTCTCTGTGTGGCGTTTAACATGATAGAAATGGACGTCCAATTTTGGTGTTTGGAAATACAGTAAAAAATTTGACTAAAAACACCACGTTGTAACCTTCAATCATACATAATTTATACTGTATATGTATTGTGTGTGTGTGTGTGTGTGTGTGTGTGTGTGTGTGTGTGTGTGTGGAATGAACAAGCTATCATCAACTATCATCCAACATCGATCTAACATTTTATTTTTAATTTCTATCTCTTCTCTCCTTCTCCCCCTCCCTCTCTCCTCCCCTCCTTCTCCCCCTCCCCTCTCTCCTCCTCCTCCCCTCCCCCTCTCCCCAGACCTAGTAGTCCTTCTGGAGCCTCTTGCTGAAATCACTCTCTTGCATACACAGGCCAGCAGATGTCCTCCTTATCTTCCTCCTCCTCCTCCTCCTTATGCTTCGCCTCCTTATCCTTCCTCCTCCTTATCCTTCCTCCTTATCTTTATCCTTCCTCCTTTTACCCGTCCTCATCTCTTTGCTCTCCTCTCTCCTGCTTCTCTTCCTGTAATTTTCCTATCGTATTTCCTCCTCTTACTTATTCCTTCTTCTGCACCTCCCCCATCTTCCTCGTCTCTTTTGTTTCCTCTTATCCTCCTCCTCCTCCTCTTCCTCCTCCTCTTCTTCCTTCTCCTCCTCCTCCTCCTCCTGAAACACGGGAGAACCGGGAAACAAGGAATTAGATTTTTGTGTGAATAATTAGACTGATTTTCCGCGACTATTATTTTCTCTCTCGAATAAACTAAAGCTTCTCTCCCTCTCTGTGTCCCCTCATACCTCACCCCTCCCTCAAAACTATCCTTCCCTGACACTTCCCCCTCACACCTCTCTCTCTCTCTCTCTCTCTCTCTCTCTCTCTCTCTCTCTCTCTCTCTCTCAATCTCTTTTTCTCTTTCTTATGTTTTTTTCACTTTCTCTTATCTCTCATAAATCTCTCTTTTATCTCTATCTCTCTTCTTTTATCTCTCTCTGTCTCTCCCCAATCGGAAAAATTCATTAACCTAGATGAAAAAGGGAATGAGAAATGCAAATGTAAAACTTCCAACAAATTTCAATTTGATTTAGAAATAAAATTGGAAGGACACGAGGTTTTTCCCCCACACATCACAGGAAACTCCCTAAAAGTCTTCCGTTTAAAACCAAAATTCGAAAATAACGCCAAGAGTGATGGGGGAATATCATTCACCCCAAATCATTCTAATTGTTGGGGGGTTATTTCACCTGAAGATTAACCACCCCAGTTTATTTCACCTGAAGATTAACCACCCATGTACTCATGTGTCTGCTGGCTGGGCCTCTTGAGCACTTATGGCAGGTAATAATCAGTAACGCCAGGTGTAAAAGGTGCTCTCTCTCTCTCTCATTCAGACTTCACCTAAACTCACTGACATAAGCCTGACTCTCCAGAGGGCGCTGTATCCCCCCCCATTGAGTCCTTTCTTCCCTATATAGCCTTAGTAAACACAGAAAATATTTTGTCCATAAACTGCTGTAAAAACTGTAAGAATCTGTGGTAGTTTGGGATCAGTAAGAAAAGCCCAGTTTCCATCAGGCTGTGAAGGATCGTTTACAAACTATATAGTCACATTACTGAATGATCCCAAGAGGTCAAAGAATAGTGTTTACAAATGACAGCTGAGGTCCACCAAGGCGAAGTTTAATCTCCTCTGTATTTTATCTTACTCAAGGACCACGTTATGAAGGCCTTACATACAAGGGCTGCCGCTGACGGAGTTAATGATATGATATTGTCTGCAGAAGTCGTGTGGTTTATTACTATACATCTCGGGGATAAGTGAAGTCTTTTGATATGTGTGTCGAGTAGTTCTTGTAAAATTTGGGTTAAACTTTTATGTCACTGAAATATATCTTCGTAAAAAAAGATTAAAACACACTAGGAACAAAATTAACTTGTATATGTAGATTCGTAATAAAATAATAAACAAAATAACCCGCCAATTTCAGTTACAGAAGAACAAGGTCTATTCTTTCAGTTGCATACAAAGGCGGAGCTCAGTCCTGTTGAAACTGTAAATAAACCGACTTTAACCCGAGGGCCGATGAACAACACTGCCAATGTTTCAACTCGGCATCGAACCCCCTAGCTGGAAAGGTGGGATTTTAATTAGGTTTAAATTTACCGTGTTTAATTACCGTAGCTGAATACCAACAGGGGCGCAAAATACACCAAAGTTTTATTTCTGCTGCCGCCTACCATGCAAATATTATGTAGATCAGCCAACACGCCCGCTACAGTGGTTCTGGCAGTACTGTACTATACGTTAGCCCATGTCATATATATATACTGAATACTACCCTTGCTATACATACAGGTATATCTGGCTATACTGTGCAGCATCCTTAGCATATATCTGGTAATACTGTAACATTACCCCTTGTTATATATCTGGCAATATTGTAACCCTAGCCTTTATCATATATCTGGTAATACTGTAGCCCCGACCCTGTGTACTGTATTATAGTTCTGTACACCTCTTGGAGCCGTAAGGAAAATCTCACATATATTATTAGTTCCGTTTTGTTTGTGTCATGTCAGTGTTGGTGGTAAAATGAAGGCTGTTTGTGGCTGTTGTCGTGGTTGTTGTTGTGGTGATATCATAACTTTTTACGCACACGCACACACACGCACACACACACACACACTTGACGAGCACAATAATTAAACCAACAGACACTTCATTAAGCTCGCCCATCGTAGTAATTGTAGTAATTATGTTACGTCACTAGGCGGCCCAGATTACACCCGACCAATAAGTGTGGTTATTAAACTTACCTGTTAATTATTTTTTTCTCTTATTATGAAACTACAATCAATCCAGGTTAATTGTGATATATATTTAACATGTTAACTCTTGATGATCATATGTTAACTCTTAAATGTTAGTTCTATATGTCTAAAATATTAACAGGAGGTAGTAATTAATATTGCTATGTATTTAATATGTTAATTCCAAATGATAGTGACTTTTATTTGTGTTACTCTCCTAATACCTTGGCCATAGAGGTAACATTTTTCATCCCCATATTAAAATTGTATGAATTTAACAAGTCGTATTGGTTAGGTCAGACTGAGGTTTATTAGAACCTGACCTAATCGTGAATGGGGCCTATTATGACTTGGATCTACTAGGACTGGGGTCTATTGGTCCCGGGGCATATTAGGACCAGGACCTATTTGACCTTCAACCAAGAAGTAATTAATGAAGAGTTTAATTAAATTGATACATCGGCCATAGATTATACACCAGTAACGAAAACAAGTGGAATCTTTTAGTTTACTTGAGGAAATAATCACCAAGCAATTCAACGTTTGTATATACTGTACCTTTACACTGTATGTATCTAAAGTATTATTGTCGAGGAATGTCTTGCTTCATCTAACACACCTAATGCCTTCTCCATTGATTTCCCACAGTGAATACCAAGAACATAATGGGCAGGTACATCACGGCCCTTGAGAGAGACACTGGGTACTTGACTGACGAAGTTGTGGTTTTCTCTCTCTTTTCAAATCAATTTTCCGGGCGCAGAACGTCAACAAATTGCCCGCCAGTTACAACAAAAGCCGCGCTCCAGGGAGTTTGAAAGAGACCATCCAATATTTCCTAAAGTGAACCAAAGCACGAAGCTAATCAGGTTGATTGCCCCCCCCCCCTAAGTTTTGGTTCTTGCTCCACACCAGTATAAGGATATGTTGCTCACTGGTTAAGGAGATGTTGTTCGTGTGTGACAACTTATCCCCACTACCAAGAAGATGAGATAAGCTGAAGCCACAATATTCTTACACATAATCAAATTACTGTGCTGGAAAATGTTTAAAATGTGGCCATATTATAGTTTCCAATACTTTATCAACAAAGGATAGCCCCTAAAATGTAGGTTAGAAGGTTATTTCCACAGGGTAGGCGTAGGGTTGGGGACTAGTAATTAATAACAATAATCCTACATCACAGGTAAGTTGATTTGAGGTAACAAAAGTCACAAGTACTACACCACACTTAGATAAATTGACACTGGTGGGTCTTTTCCACGGGTCGTTTATACTCTGAAGGTGGCTAATACTTGGTTATACCGGAATTTCCTTTGTTCAGAATAGTCCTACTCGGTGTTCAGTCCGGTAAAGTGACGTACTGTTATGGGGGATAATTCGTCTTATCCGCCCCATTCCAGATTTGTGTGATTACAAACTGGAGTTATTTTTTTTTTTTTTTTAGTTTTCCTTACAAGATTCTGAAACATAACATAAAACTTTTAGCCAATTTTAGGTGACGGTGTTTTGAACGTTTAAGATCATTGGAACTTTCATTTAATGGCAACAACACCGTAGGATCAACTTGAAATTCCACTTGGTCTTTCATGAACTACTGTATTACGCTGTTACTATGCTCCTTCATTGCATCTTTTTTGGGGGGGATGTTAAATTATACATATAAACTGTTAGAACCATTCAGAAAATATTATAAAAAAGATGATAGCGTGTTTAAATTTCAATCGGTTTCATTTTTTAATATTCTATGTGTTTTCTTATTTTCTAGTTGATTCCTATTGTTTTTAGTCCGTCTTATTCAAGTGTGATAGGCTGCAGCATCCAGCTTAAGGTGTCCTAGAGCAGTGAATTTCTGTAGGTTGCTTTATATGCTTCTCTTCACGATTCGGTTAGTTTTTCATATTGTTTGATTCATTTTCATCCCCAGCCTTGAGAAGTTAGCAGGGTGGTGGTAGCCGTGTGTGTGTGGAGATTTTTCTAGTATTGATTCCTTCACAAACTACTACTTTTGAAAGTTTTAAAATTGCTCCGTACGTTCATTAGTTGAAAGTTATTGCCTCTCCAAACTTTGGCTAATTGAATATATCACTTAGGAGTTATGCATTGAGTTGAGGTTTATTGTTATTCCAATTACTTGCTGCATTGGATTTTTTTCCACATATTTAAACTTTTACTTTTTACCGTAAGATTGTCAGGAGGATTAAGCAAAAAACATCTAATGTATAGTAGTGAAATTTTAGTCTTGTGTACTATACGTCATGGGATTCCTGATTACGTGAGCTGTACAGAGGAACGTATTGATTTGCAGCTGTCCCCAAACATACGCTTACGTCCCATTCTAGTTTATGTGCAGGATTCGACGATAAAGATCCCAGGTAGAGCATTGTAGCTTTATTGTCTTGAAATTTAGCTTTCTGATAAGAAATTGTACAGCAAAGGGTAGATTATTCCAATCTGTACCACCTGTATCTTTGAATGTACTTTTATCTAAAAACTCACATATTATGTGAGTCACATTTACTATATGTCTAGAAAGCTAAGAGCTATAACTGAAGCCTGACAGGATAGTGTTCTCATACTATGTATATTGTTGACATAGATAAATTAATAATTACTTATGACAACAATAGACCTGTTTTTCTCATTTATTTTATTTTCCCAGGAGTAGGAAACCGGTGGCGAGATACATGAATTACAAAAGTATTTTGTATCTAGTGTACATAACTTAAGCAATCATCCTGAAAGAATAACATTATTTTTATAAGTATAAGTCATAATTCCTCTGGTTGAGTTTAAACTTCACAGAATTTATGAGACAAGATAAGGAATGAGGTGCCACTGAAAGTTTATACACAACGTTTGTATCAACAAGCGCGACAGGAATTCATTCACTACCAACAAAATCTTTATATTGATAACTTTATACAGATCAGTTAATGGTGCAGCTAAAGTTTATCATTTATAAATTAACGATAATATTAGAGTGTATGAAATTATTGTATTTATTTTGTATTAATTCTTATTTTTTCAGTAATAGTTGTTCTAATGTGTGTAGGCAGTGTTTGTGTTGTGTGAGTGACCGACCGCAGCTCATGGACGCCGTGTGGTGTTGGTCCGTGATCCTGTATTAACAGCTATACTTTTCACCGATAATAAGACTACGGATTAAACGGTAAAGGAGTTTGTATACTAGAGGAATTAATCAAACAATTTTAAGTAATGTTCAGTGTTAAATATTACAGTAAATGGTGGTCATTGCCATGTGTGGTGGCGGGAGGTCCTGTCATTGGTAAAATTGCAGATTACAACAACCAAAGAATCTGATAATATAAAAAATATTACCTAACCTAATATAATATAAGAAAATGGGGTTAACGTGTAGATTAATGCTGCCAACGATTCTAGCAAGATCACACTGCTTTTCCACCATAATTTTTGCTGTTCATTGCTAGTGAGTGTTCTCTTTTAGGGAAGTGCTTCTTTTTTTTATAATTTACACTATACAGTAATACCGTCGGCGAGCCATGGGAAGGAGAGTGCATAGTGCATGGCGTCTGAATTGCATTACCATGTTATATAATACATGACCCAACTCTGAAAAAATAGCGCTTCCCCAATAGAGGAATACGTTACGTTAGGTTAAATTAGTATAAGTTAAATATTGACATTATATAACCACTCCGGGGGTGGGGGGCTAGGAGTTTAGTTCACGTTATGGTAGGTTAGGTTAAATTAGGAAAACATTAGTTTTTTGTTTTATCCCCAGAAAAAAATCTATCTTCAATAATAATAGCAACAAAATTCCTGCAGAAAAAAATGTTTTTGCTGGCGAAATCGCTTGCAGCACTTAAGTAAACGTTTACCCAATATTACTCTGTGATTAAGGATATCGGTAACTGTGAAGATCAAGAGGTGCCTGAATGCTATGGCAGGTGGAGTGATTTAATCTGTAACGTAAGTAAAATTATTGGTAATAGTTGAAACCATTTTTGCATTTAACTACCTACTGTGACATTTCTCCATAAAACATAAATGCTTCCGAACCTGATGAAGTTGACGAAAGATGTACAAGCAATACATTTTGTGTAAATCGCTTTTACTTTTTCTGTCTCTTTCATCTGTGGCCCAAACTCCACCCTTTAAAGTCTTCATGTAGCTCTCCACCATCCCCCCCTTTTTTTTGAGATTATGTAAATTAATTATAACCAGTGTTTAGGCATAGTATATAGGTACACCAGCCATATGCACTTGCTATTAAGATGGCCTTTCTGACTAATTTATAGTTAACCTTACCATTAACAACACATTCCATCTACGGCTACCATACCTTTATCCACTACATAGTGTTTAAGGTTGGATGGTTAAGTTTGGTTCATTTTATGAATGATATATTATTGACGATCATTCTTGGCAACTGCTAACATTAATGAAGTAACAGATACTGCTGCATTATGTAATTTATAGTTCATAAAATGAACCACCCTAACCTAACCCAACTCGGTTAACCCAAACTGAATACAGTACTACTTACCTTAACCAAAAAACAAGATTTTAGGCCTGCTATACCTATGCAAGAATAGTGAGAAGACAATATGTCAGATTATGGTTGGTAGCACTTGGTATTGTACAGGGCAGAGGTCTGGTTTATATAACTACCAAACAAAAAATCACATTAGAGGAAAATCTATTTCTTGTCTCCTGAATAAAGCAGATTGGATGGAGCAGTGGCATTCTATGTAAGTACTGTAATACTTTAGAAGGAGGAACCTGGGGAAAATTTTTAAGAACAAAACTTTGGTTAATATTCGGTCGCTGGTTAGGTTAGACATGTATACTGATATTTGAGAGTCGTTAGGTGAAGATCTTTAAAAAGGCTCAGACATGTATTGAAATAATGCAGCAACACAAATACTGTATGGCTTTTGTCTTTTTGCCAGCCTCATTGTGCCTTTTTGCTTCCAACTTTACATCTAAAGTTCTGTAAAGCTGAATTTAAAAGCTGTGAGAGGAGGTATGGTGGCATTTGTGACAATGTCCTTATCACAGCAAGAAGAGGTGTGCATGTAATTTACGCCAGTATTCATTGCTTCTTTACTATTGCCCTTTCCTCTGCAAGTGAAGGATTGCAGTTCCTTATTAGTACTGCATCAGTATAGCGTGATTCCCAAATTTATTATATTTTCATAAATTATACCGTATAAAATTTGTGAAACTCTTTTCAGTATGTAATATTTGCCATTGTCAGCTATAGTCTCATTTTTTCTTTATTATTTTACCATCATTGATTAATCCAACAGATAATGGATGTAGATCTATATGATGAGTTTGGTAACTACATTGGGCCAGAGCTTGATTCTGATGATGAGGATGATGAGGAAGATGATGATGACTATCAAGATCAGGACCAAGATGTGAATGGCTTTGATGATGATGATGGAGTGGGGGGTGAAGAGGAGGAGGTATCTGCACAGGCAGTGGTTCTACATGAAGATAAACAGTACTACCCAAGTGCTGCTGATGTATATGGCCCAGAAGTGGAGACCATTGTACAGGAGGAGGATGCTCAACCATTGACTCAGCCCATCATTCAGGTAACAATCCAGAATTTTGTTGTTTGACTTTATGTGAAATTTTTTTTACTATAGTTATCTCACTGCGATTTTTATGAGAATTTACTTATGTAGCTACAGGTAAAACAGTTAACAGTTGCATTCACAATGTTGTCTACAGTTGTTTAATTTGACGAAGGTGAGCATTAATGACTTCTAGCTATTTACACTCCAATTTGATTTATACTGATTGTTTCCTTTCTGATTATGCTATTACCTGTATTGTACAATATTATCTCTTAGTGTTTTCTTTTATCCAGTGCTTTATTAATGTTACAAGTACTGTAGTACAGGTAGAGTCCAATTTATGAAAGGGTGTATTTTGCAGATATATGTGGTCCATGTACTGTCCTTTAACAGTATTTGATGTGGATGTCCAGTAATGTGTTACTTTTTTGTTACAGCCAGTAAAGGTAAAGAAGTTCAGCCATGTAGAAAAGGACTTGCCAGTCACCTGCTACAATCTAGAGTTTTTGGCTGATCTTATGGACAACCCAAATTTAGTACGTAACATATCTCTGGTGGGCCACCTCCATCATGGCAAGAGCACATTTGTTGACTGCCTTATACACCAAACACATCCAGAATTCAGGTATGGCCTTACCAGATGTAAATATCCAGTATAACTGTTATATATTTATTATTATTGTAATTCTTTATTCAGAGCTTTGTTGTTTAACTTTCTTATCATGCATGAGCTTCTAGATTCATTCACTAACAGTTATAACTTCCCTTCAGTGGAGGAAGAAACTAAGCAATAGTGCAACATGTCTAGGTGTCTTGAGTGGCAGTCTATTACGTCCATCCTACTGAGAAAAATGTAGGTGTCTTTAAACTTAAGCACCCCAGGTTTACATGGCCATGATGAGTTTATTGTTGATTCATTGTGTTTTTCTGGAACTGGCATATACAGGAGCTCAGTTTGGTAGAATTGATGCCTTGATGGTACAATCATCATAATACTTGGAGCTTATTGGTATTCTGTCTCCTTTATCTATCTGGCTTTAGCATATAGAATTGCCTAATCCCCATGTATAGTTATGAGTGGAGGATTAGTACTGAAATCCAATTTATAACCAAACCAGGGTTGAGCTGCGTTGTTTACCTCTCTCCTGTGTTGGGTTTTTGAGGTTAGCTGGAACCGAGACTGATCCTGTAAGTTTTGGAGCTGACCAAACAAAAACCGATTGTTGAGTGTACTGTTACATGTTTGTGCTATGAAGCAAAGATTCTTAACCTTCTCCTTTAAATGAATGGGAAGCTTCACTTCATATGACTTCTTTTTGGAATATAGTATTGTTGGGAAAGATAGTCTAGTTTGTTTATTCAAATGAATTTTTAGATTACCGAGCTGTGAAATCTTGGCTCATTTATAAAATGGGATTTCAGGATCATTCCTCTTTAGCCATGTCCTCTTCTTAGTGCATTGATTTGTTACATTACCATATATGTTTCATACTAACTGTATTTGCATGTACTTAAGAGTTCATGTTTACCCTGGTACAGTATATGTAATATGGTGCTTTTTATTATAGATCTCTTTTTTTTTTTTTTCTTTTAGGAGCAAGGAGGATGTTCCTGTACGATACACTGACACACTGTTTACGGAGGGTGAACGTGGACTAAGCATCAAGGCCACTCCCATTACACTCGTCATGCAGGATGTACGCAACAAGAGCTTTCTTATGAACATCTTTGACACCCCAGGACATGTTAACTTCTCTGACGAGGTAAGTGATTTTCAATATTTTTTATGGTTATTGTGGCTCAACACCGAAAGATGTCATATATGGCTTCTGGTCCTCTGAGGCGTGTGAGATACCAGCACACAAAACCCCTTATAACTGAGCCTACTGTTATCATAAAGTACAAATGATTAGCAGCAGGATGCATTATTTATGTAAATAACATCATTACCACAGTTTATATCTCCTCCCAGTCTTACCAGGTACCTTTTATGGTATCTAATGGTGTGATGTTTGCCTTAATGGCCAATGGAGTGTCTGTCAATAGTTAAACTCACAACAATCCACTGCATCATGTGAACCGCTTGGCCCATAAAGAGGATTTCACTTTCAATCTTTAGAAATGTTACTCCCATCCATCCTTCAACCAACCATCAATTGTTAGTCACCATCCTCATTGCATCCAGCTTCTTGGTGGATTGTCTGAGCTGATATCGTATACACTTTTCTTAATAGTTTTTACATGTATTTTGGGGTTCAGTTTCCCACACCCATGGATAGTTGTCTTGGCACTGTGTGCTAATTCAAATGTTCTTCATTTAATCTTAAAAATTACCAGTGTTCTGCCCTTTTAATGATGTGTGTAAAAAGAATGATTAAAAGACAGTTTTAATACAGGGCATCTTATTGGTTTTGTGTGGTTTCCTTTACCTGGGATGGTCACTCAATATACGAGGTTCTTAAACCTTTTTGCCTCACCCTGAATATTACTACAGTACAGTTCATTTAATGTTATATCAGGAAAAGAATTAAACAAATCTTCTAGTTTGAATTTTCTTTTATAGTCCATATTCACCATTGTTGTGCAAAACAATGCAAAAAATATTCACAAGGGTAACACAAAACAGGTACTCATTAATGAAATGGATTATATTGACTCTTTTTACTTACATGTCATATCAATAAAAACAGACACATTCTATTTGCAGTTCTAGCTCACATATAACTTGCTGTAGTGCAACACACTATTATGAACATTAAAAACTATTTTTTGTGTTATGGGTGATACTGGTTCTTTACACTTACAACTTTTGCCATATTTGGTGATGTCTGGCTGAGTTTGCATCAAAGATTACTCTCCACATTAAGCTTGTTACGTTGCTTTAATCCCAACCAGTTCTGAAAATCTGAACTCGGACAGATATATCAATAAAAAGGTGATAATGATACACAAACAACTAAACACACTCTCCCTCTTCATATATTTATATTTACAGTGCTTAAATTTTTTTATTTATTAGTTTATGTACACAAACCTGTATACATAGTTGTGTGTGCACTTTTTTGCATATTAAGCCCTTAATGTGATCATTTTCCACTGATCCCTCGTGGCCCCCAGTTTAAAAGCCACTGTTGTAGTTTCCTTTATATGAACTGCAGAGTGTACATATTGTTTAAGTTGTGACTGTTATCTTGATACTGAATGTATTTTTGACAAGTAAAAACTTGTTCTTCCTCAAATTTAGGTGACTTGAATTTGATGGCTGTTGAGTTACTAACTTACTATGAATATTAGAAAATAAAGGCAATGAAACTTCTGGAGCCATTACGATAACTTGTAGTAGTATAGTTCCAGCTCATCTTAAAATATTTATGGAATCATTGCAAATAATACACTTTTTTCCAGGTTTGCAACTAGAATGGGCAAATTTGTATGCTGTTTAAGTAGTGCCTTTACTTCAAATTTGAAACTACACTTTACACTGAAAGTGCCTAAAATTGATCCTTCAAGGACAATTCAGTGTTAGAACTTTTCTCTTATAAAAGAATTAAGACATTTGAACTTTCTCATGTACACCTAACAAACTTGTTCTTCAGAAGCAAAGTATTTACTACTAACAATTTTGAAAATTTATTTTTACTTTAGTTTTCCAAGTATATACTGGAGGGAACTTCTTAATTGGATAATTCATTACAGGTGACTGCTGCCATGCGGTTAAGTGATGGGGTGGTGGTGTTTGTAGATGCTGCTGAAGGAGTGATGCTCAATACACAGCGACTCTTGAAACATGCAGTACAAGAACGATTGGCCATCACTGTATGTATTAACAAGGTTGATCGCCTCATTCTAGAACTCAAATTGCCTCCACAAGATGCTTATTATAAATTAAGGCACATAGTGGAAGAGGTTAACTCTCTTCTTCAGCAGTATACAGATCAGGAGAATCCTCAAACCATCTCTCCCCTGCTCGGCAATGTTTGCTTTGCCAGCTCCCAGTATTCTCTCTGTTTTACCCTCAAATCTTTTGCTAAAATTTATTCCCAACATTTTGGGTATGAACTACCACTGGAAGATTTTTCAAGACGGCTGTGGGGTGACATATACTTTAACCCTCGGACTAAAAAATTTACAAAGAAGCCCCCAACATCAACGGCACAAAGGAGCTTCGTAGAATTCATCCTTGAACCATTATACAAAATATTTGCTCACATTGTTGGGGATGTAGACACCCATCTGATGTCATTAATGGATGAGTTGGGCCTACACATGAGCAAGGAAGAACAGCGGATGAACATCAGACCACTGTTGAAACTCTTTATGACTAAATTCATTGGAGACTTCGAAGGATTTGTAGATATGTGTGTTCAACATATACCCTCCCCCAAGTCATATGGCAAACAGAAGGTGGAATCAACATACACTGGCCCTCAAGATACGAAACTGGCAGAAAACATGATGATGTGTGACCCTGATGGTCCACTTGTTGTCCACACCACCAAGCAGTACCCTAATGAAGATGCAACAGCTTTTCATGTGTTTGGACGTGTTCTTTCAGGAACCATTCATGCCAACCAGGATGTCCGTGTATTGGGTGAAAAATATACACTGATGGATGAGGAGGATTCTCGCATACTAACTGTTGGAAGGTTGTGGGTGTCTGAAGGCAGGTACAATATTGAAGTAAATGCTGTACCTGCTGGCAACTGGGTTTTAATTGAAGGAATTGATGAGCCAATAGTCAAGACTGCTACCATCACAGATCTTCCTCCCAGCAGTGAACTCCACATATTCCGACCACTTAAGTTTAACACACAGTCTGTCATCAAAATTGCTGTTGAACCAGTAAATCCCTCCGAATTGCCCAAAATGTTAGATGGTCTTCGTAAAGTTAACAAATCATATCCTCTGCTGAGTAATAAAGTAGAGGAGTCTGGAGAACATATTATTCTTGGAACAGGGGAATTGTATCTTGATTGCGTTATGCATGATTTACGGAAGATGTATTCCGAGATTGACATCAAAGTAGCTGATCCTGTGGTCAGTTTCTGTGAGACTGTGGTCGATACATCTTCACTAAAATGTTTTGCAGAAACTCCAAACAAGAGAAATAAGATTACAATGATTGCTGAACCATTAGAAAGAGGTTTGGCTGAAGATATTGAAGGAGAAGTAGTGCAGATAAATTGGGACAGGAGACGACTTGGCGAGTTCTTCCAGACACGGTATGATTGGGATGTGTTAGCTGCTCGATCTATTTGGGCTTTTGGACCAGATCACAGTGGTCCAAATATTTTGGTTGATGACACACTACCCTCAGAAGTAGACAAAAATCTTTTGTCATCAGTAAGAGATTCAATTGTGCAAGGCTTTCAATGGGGCACAAGGGAAGGCCCTCTTTGTGAAGAACCGATACGAAATTGCAAGTTCAAGATTCTTGATGCCGTGATAGCTGAAGAGCCTCTGCACCGTGGTGGTGGTCAGGTCATTCCCACTGCAAGAAGAGTAGCTTACTCTGCCTTCTTGATGGCAACGCCTCGTCTCATGGAACCTTATTATTTTGTGGAAATTCAGGCCCCTGCAGATTGTGTGTCATCTGTATATACAGTATTAACAAAACGACGTGGTCATGTAACCCAGGATGCCCCTGTAGCTGGTTCTCCACTTTATACCATCAAGGCATTTATTCCAGCCATTGATTCCTTTGGATTTGAGACAGATTTACGTATGCATACACAGGGTCAGGCCTTCTGTTTGAGTGTGTTTCACCATTGGCAAATTGTGCCAGGTGATCCCTTAGATAAGAGCATTGTAATTCGCCCCTTAGAACCCCAACCTGCCACTCATCTGGCGCGTGAATTCATGATCAAGACTCGGCGAAGAAAGGGTCTCTCTGAGGATGTGTCTATCAACAAATTCTTCGACGATCCTATGTTGCTGGAACTTGCCAGACAAGATGTGACACTGAACTATGCATAAGGTGTAGTCATTGTTTGTTCATACTCATATATTGATCATCTCTGTAAAGGTTATTAATCTGGGATACTGAATAATTTCTACATGTCTGCACTCTTATTAATAGGAATTCTTTTGTACAATAAATAAGAAAAAGTATATACTGTATAGACCAATGTACTATATAATGAATATATTATGGAGTGTATTACATTATAGTTTTGAATATGATACCTGTAATTTTGAACTTTTATGAGGTAAAATACAAAAAACTCCATGATTTATTATGAGTTTTTCTTATCCTACAAAGTAAAGGTCATAGACTGCCTTATTTACATTTCATTTCATTAAGATTATTTATATTTGTGCCTTAAAGTCAGACAGCTCTTATAATCAAGGACGCTTATAGAAGGAAAGAGGATTTTAGCATACATCTTCCACTGATGCAAACCAGGGTATAAAAATTTACCCGCATTTCCCCATCACATTATTTAAAGCAATAGCTACTGTCTGGGCTACTGAAAGTCTTATAAGCTGGGCCTACCAATTCAGTATGCTTCATACCAATGCCTACCTCTCACAATAAAGGTCTTGAGTTGGGAGCAGAGCCTTTACCAGAATGCTCTGGTTACTTTTATGAAATTCATAGTGTCTAGCTCAGTTTGAACACTTTAAGAGATACTTTGCAGAAAATGCTGCACTGTAGTTAAATTTTATATATAAATTAAACCATAATTTGGATGACTTATAAGTTACAAAAGTTTTCTTTACATTTTATATTGGTTCTCCCAATTCTAGATTAACCCAATACTTAACGCAGCTAGCCCTGGGTCTGTGACTACCCTTTCACACACATTGTACTCTACATTATTTTTGGTGTTTTGTTTGGATGATCCAGGCCTAATTCTAGTGAGGTTGATTTAACGAGAGTAAAATGCAAGATAGAACCTGAGTACTACAAGTGTTGTCCATTATACAATGGGGGTAAGGGACTTTGAAAAGCCATTGTTACGTGATTACGTGATTGATTGTATATCAATACTCATAACTTATGGGGGAAAATACATTACATTCCTGAGACCCTGAAGAGCCAGAGTTAGCACTCACAACAGTTATTTTTCAACTTGTAACTTCAGGTAGATGATATATGTATCATTATTCTGTTTTACTGTTACATGCACACAATAATTATTATAAGGTAAAAAACATAAGGGAAATAAAAAAAAAATTATGTGCACCAGAGTTATCACAGAGCAGGGGTAGACAGTTGTAATTTTTTCATTCATACAGAATGTGCATAAGAAAATAAAAATAAAATAATCATAAAGTAATAAATACTTCTTATGTGCATGGGAGCTAGCACAGAGAGCAAGGAAGGTGATTGGCAAGGGATTTGGGCTCGCTGTCTTGTGTCCTGTGCGTAGTGATATGATTGCCAAATGGTAATGCATAATTTTTTTTTATTTATTACAGCTACTCCCCGACTTATGGCGGGGTTAGGGACCCAAATCCAGGTCGTAAGTCGAAAATGATTAAATAATACATAGAAAATCTATAATGGGTGTATCTTTTTCTTCTCGGTACCACAAAACTCACTTTTAAGCTTGCCAGCCATTTTAAAGTGAATTAACGAAAATTTTGTCTGTACTGACGTTGGGACTCGAAAATACGTAATTTGACAAAATTTTGGTACGACTGAGGCAGGTCATAAGTCGGGGAGGAGCTGTATTATTTTTAATTATGCCTTATTTACTGGTGCAGTATACAGAAGGCGATCATTTTACCATGCATGAGGGACAGGCGGTTCACTTCCACAGTTGAAGTTCCCACCCAGGAGAAAAAATTTAGATAATGAGCTTCTAACACAACTACACGCGAGGGTTATGTATCACCACCGTTATTATTGTATTCCTGCTTGTTTTATGGCTAACTATAATACCTTTCAGGTATATAGTAACTCAATAAATATCTGTCAGAGGTGTGGAGTGGTGGTGTTAACATCGTGGCTGGCTAGCTTCATGTGAGCTGTGTGGCTGGGTTGCATGTGCCCTGTTACAAGTGGTGACATGTATCCTGCTTACATATATTTATGGTACTTGATACAGCTTATAACTCTTGTATGTTTTACAATACTGTACCAAAATTCAGTAGCTGTATCAAGTGCCATAAATATTTAGGAGCTGTATAAGCAAAGTAAATTTCTCCAATCACAGTCAGTGCAGCTGGCAAACCCACTGCAAAGTTGCCGCATCCTTTATTTTACTTGTAGCTACCAAATAACTCTATAAAATAGTGCGATTAAAAACTTTACAGATGATAAAAATTATACATGCGTGACTAATGTTAATTTGCCAAGCCAAACTACATTAAACAATCTACAGTATTACATTAAAGTCTGTGTGGTTGCAGACTGAAGAGCTGACTTGCCCTCTGTGGGCGACCGCAGAGCATAGAATGTAAGGTGGTCAAACTCAAGGTCGAATCTTGAAATTACTGTACATACCGTATGTTTTATTCTGAAAATTTACTGATGTTTGAGTTTAGATAGATTAAATGAGTTAAATAATCATACATTTTTCACATTGGTTCAACATGGAGAGAGATTTATTGAGTTAAATCATACACTATGCAATAATCTTACATAACTCATAACCCTAGATCTTCATATGACAATGAGACACTGAGTGTGGTAGACCGTAACCTCACAGCGTCACCTCTACCCCTTGCCTGCCAATTCCCGCACACAGGGTTGAAGGTTGTTTGATCCAGTTAAATAGTAGCATCAGTTTCAATTAATAAGGCATAGTGAAGCCCTGGCTCAGATAAATAATCGTCTACTGTATATTATTTTATGTACTGTACTGTGTAGCCTGTCATTTAACACAACTGAAATTTCAGAACCCAAGAACCTAATGTTTTAAAGAACTGGATGAGAAAGGGCAAGTGCTAGAAAGGGAAATAAAGTTAAATACTGTAAATGAAGAATACTGTACTGTACTCCTTAAGCTTGACAAGTAGCTACCTGTATAATGAAGCCTAAATAAGCCATCAAAATTAGAAGAAGCTACAGGTTTCCCTTTTTGATCAACCATATTCTTCAAAGACAATAGTACTTTTATGAGGATCTAAACCTTACAGGTACATTATTGAAAACTGAGATTTGACAGTCCGGCATCATTAAACGTTTGTACAAAATTGGTACAGTGATTTAATCAAGATTGAATAACACTTCAGCATAATGAAATAGAGAAATAAACTGTTTTGCAATTCATTGTTAAGTACTGAAAACATTTTGCAAAATGGATTAGAAGCCTCTTGTAGCATTCAATCCTTAATCTGAGTAAGAGCAGTATTTGTGAGTTGAGTCTGTGAGGAGTTTTCAAGTACTTACTGTACAGTAGTGTGGTAGATGCTGGTGTTTAGGCTCTGCCAACCATAACACAAATTTTTATGTCACTGATCCAATAATTGCAATTTTAAAGTATCCAGGCAGATGGGTAAGCAGTGTGATAGTGTGTAGACTATGTCTATAAAACTATATGCAGCAGGATGATGCAACTGGTCACGTAGGCTTACCAAGTTCAAAGCCACTACCAAGGACTATTTCTGGCCGACACTTTCTCACCCTGATAAAGTAGGTAGGTGTTGTAGAACTGTTGTATAAGAACAGGAGGATGAACCCTAAGGATTGTGAGTTTAATATAGATGGATATGACTCTCAGGCAGTATGCAGTATGTGATGATTAATTGCACAAAATCGTCATGTGTACCCGTGACAAGCAGGATACCGGTACCACAAGGCATTGTACAGGGCCCGTTGTTATTAGTTTGTTTCATAAATTATTATCCAGACGCTATATGCTCCACCATATAAATGTTTGCAGACAATGTTAGGTTATTCAGGGAAATTAAGAACAAAACAGTCTGTGAAACACTACAGGAAGATTTTTGTAAACTTCAGGAATGGTCAAAGAAATGGCTGTTAAGCTTCAATGTCACAAAATCAGTAGGAAGCACCTAGGTTTTACCAACAGTAAGGAGGCATATTAAATGTCCCAATGGGACGAAGTACAGTAACATCTTTAACTGAGACCGTGTGAAAAAGGAGTGCATGTTGACAACGAACTGAAGTTCTCGGAACATTGTCAGAAGATAAATTAAACCAATAACCCTCTCGTGGTCTTTTGATGCAAATTGCATTGCTAAGTACTCCCGTGCTGGCATGGCCCTCATGCTCAGTCATATCTCGCTCTGAGAGCACCCCTCCTTTAAGCAGAAATGTGGGAACAGTTGACCAGCTCTATCAACCACCTAAGTTCCTCCCACTAGCTTTGTGGGCTGTCAGATGCATCTCTAAGGGTGCAATTTGAGTCTGGATAACTTTACCCAATGTTTATTAAAATGGAAAAACCCCTCCTGTTACCGATACAGCCTGTGTTGAAAGATTGCGAGGGGGTGAGATATCCTATCACGGTCAGGAGTACCAGAGGAATAAGCTAATAGGTATTATAAGAAGGGCATTCACATACTGAGATGGTTCGTTCCTCATCAATCAATCAGAGTACCGTCCTCATACAGTATCTGAGGGTTGGTGACCACAGTCCTCCACTAAATGTTCTCGAGCTGTTTTTACCAATCCTCCGAGGTTTTGTATATCTCTGGGGACCCAGTTTTTAATTTCATTCATACATCCAAGTCTCTGTCTTCCCCTAACCCTCCTACCCTCAACTTTGCCCATAAATATTTATTATCCCTTCATCCTTAATTATATGAATAAAGATTCTCATATTTCCTTTTACGTACATTTCAAGTATTTATCTTGAAGTTTTGGCTAATCTTAGTACAGTACTTCATTTGTTCTCATGTCAGTGTAACTTATTCTTAGCTGGGATAAAAGTGAGGTGCTTCCCCATTTGGAGTCCTGCCAACCGGCCTATTGCAGACTCCTTATTTTCTTATGTTCTTATGTTCACACCGGCTGGTCTCCGAGATATGGTAGAGACTGCCAGTCAATTGAAAATGTTTAAAGGAGGGCTACCAGACTGGTGTCTGCACTTCAATACCTCAGGTACCAAAAGATTGGAACGCATGCAGTTGCCTAGCTTATACTATAGATGGACAAAGGGTGATATAATAGCATTCTATAAACACCTCAGAGGGTAGGTAGTACTCTGTCAAGTGTTCATATCTGGAATCGGAGGATGCCCGCCCACTAGTGGTCATAGCTTAATGTTGAAGAAACCGCAATTAATTTATAAAAATGGTTTTATTTTAATTTTGGTCA